CCCATTTGGGAGTTTAATTAAATATTCGATTCAGTTTAGTAAAATTGAGATTCGATTAATTAGGTCTGAATTGGAGTTAATTAAGTTAATTAAATTATGAGGATTGAGAATTGTGATTATTACGAATTAAATTTATTTATGGGGTGTCCAATTTGAATATGTAATTTATTGACAGAAATTTGGAGTCTGATTAGAAATTGTCACGCCCAACTTTTTATTACTAGGAAATCATTACCAAAGCCATTAACAATATTCAATTTCAGAGTTGGCATACAGAAGATCATTCGATTATAAATTCTCTCATTCAGTGTGCAAAATTCTTATGAATTCTCTCATTCGATTATAAAATGAATGCAACATGTACTTAACTAAATAAAGTGCCCGCAGGCTTACATCATGTAAATCAAGAGGAAGGGTTTAACCCTTTACATCAATGGCATTCCGCCTACACATAAAGAGGCCTCGTGGCCAACAAATAAGGAAGATCCGTAATCTTGTATCACATACTGATAATCACCTGAAAAAGATTCAATAATGTGGAATGAACATAAAGTCCAGTAGGGATCTCAACATGATCCTCAACAATAACAACTTACAAATAGTTATGATCATGAATGCTTGTCTCATACCATATAAATAATGTGGCGTTTTATAACCAAAGTATACTTATATAAATACTTTTCTCAAAACGTTTAGTTTATTCAACAACATTAAGGTTTGCTTTTACTACACATTCTCCCATCTAACAATTATTACACGATAACCGTATTTTCCATTTTGTAACAAAATACCACATAACATCCACTTTATTTTCGAAAACCCGCTCATCAAATCCGTTTTCTTCACGTTATTAAGAATCCGATACAAACCCAAGTCCTTTTTCCACATGCTCATCGTATTCTCGATCTCAGGTTCAAATTTAACAAGACATTTCCAACAAAGAGTTCATGGTAAGATTTCCCCTCAGCCATTCTCTTGCACGTTCAAATACACACAAGCACCTCAGCACATCATATAAAACAATTTAATCTCGCCGAATCATGATCATCATAACGAGTAACTCATGTAACCAAATAAAACAACAATAATAAACAATCTCCGCTCTACTTGCCAACAGCACAGTAAGCCAATGATGCATCTCTCCACAATAACATGCCAATTTACCAGACACCAGCTGAAAGGGAATGGTACCTCTGCCAATTTACCAGGCGCTAGCTGGAAGGGACTAGTACCTCTGATTATCAGCGTAACATACACAACCAATTTACCAGGTGCTAGCTAGAAGGGAGTGGTACCTCTAATTAGCAGCGCAGCCAATTTACCAGGTGCTTGTTGGAAGGGAGTGGTACCTATGATTATCAGCGCATCACCAATCATCACACATGATACCACACAATCAACAAATGTAATGCATACACATAGACCATTCAACACAACAATGTTATCCTCCACCGATGACCAAGGACAAAACCTCTAAGCAAAAATGTATTCGACTTACTTATTAATAACAATAATTCACATGAAACTTTCGATCCAATTATAACAATAATGAAAATAAAATATACTTATAATTCAACCTCAATTTAACTTCTGCAATTCACACAATGTTGGGGTCTTATTCTTCCATTTCAAATTCCAAATTCACTTATCCTTCCACATGAATATTCTCCACCCCTTTACCTCAACCCATTTATTTCAATTTCCACAATGAAAATAAAACCGACTCACATTCTTTCATTTTAGATAAAGGAGTTTCAAACATGGCTAATAAGGTTAATATTCACCCAAGTTCTATTTAACAGTAGTGTAACCCAATGATATTCTATTCTCATGATTAAACCCCTTTTTAACAATTACTCAACTTATCAATTCATCAACTTTAAATGTAATCAACCCAATCACAAAGTAGATTTTAAGAATCATAATACCCAGTTTAATCACAAATGTATAAGCAAGTCATTAGTCAACATCTCTAATTTGCAATGCCAATCCAATGTTAAAATTTTTCATGAAGTTCGATTTGTCTCTAATAATTTAACAAGATTCATCATTTAAATCCCTAAGTTCATAGCACACTTATTCCACGCATTAAACCCCTTTTTATCATATGAGCATTTGAATAAAAAATTGGGATTTCGCCTCTCTCTAATATAAACATGTTAGTCCACATTTTAAAATACACCCTATAACAACAATTCCTTCAAAACCTCAACCTTACACAACCCATCTTAGGTCCCTATCCATGATTTTCAACAAAAATCCATAGCAATATGATTTTTATGCAATAGAAAGTACCACATGTCTTTATGTAACAGAAGTATTGAAAAGAGACCATGGAAATCCCTACCTCAAGAGCGAAGGGGAGAAGAGCCCAAAAACTAACCTCGCCGAAATATGATCTCCACCGGTCAAGACGAAGCCCTCGACATGCTCAAAATTTTGGTATAAGGGACTAGCATCAAAATCCCAATAGATCTTTGGGATCAAAAGAAAATATAAAACTTTGAGGGTTTGGGTAGAGAGAAATGAGAGAAAAGAGATAAAATGTAGTATAGAGAGAGAGAGATAGAGAGAGAGAGGGAGAGAGATATATCAGAAATGGGAGGAAAGGAGCAAAAATGCAAAAATATAGCTGAAAGGCACGAAAAACGAAGCTGAAAACGCGCTCAGTCGCACGTGCAGTGCCTCCTCCTGCACGTGCAGAGCGTCTTTTCCGCACATGCGGCTCTCATCCCCGCACGTGCGGGCTTCCCCGCACCACACCTCCGCACATTCCTTTTAGGCAGTGTGCTCCTCCCAACTTCCCGCACGTGTGACCTAGTCCCCTGCACGTGTGGCCCCTCTCACGCACGTGCGGCCCTGGCCCCTAGCCCTGAAAATTTCTCGGCTTCACTCCCGACACCCCGGAGCCGACCCTACACCTTCTGGAATGAGTGAAAACTTGCAATTGAAACGAACAAGAGCAAAAATTTCGAGGAAAAGTTCTCAGAAATAACTAATCCAACCATTAATAGGAACATGCTTTTAAAACCCGACATTTAACAATGATGATTCCAACCCTAACCTTAAGAGAGCAAAACAAAATACGCACCGGTCATCACAAAAATTGAAGGCCTAAATGGTTTAAGAAATCAAAATAGATGATGACAATAAGTTTAATTTAATATTTGGAGCCTTTTGGGAGTTTGATTAAAAAAAATCTGATTTAGATTAATAAATTTAAATATAATTAATTAGGCTCTAAAGGAAATCAAGTTAGACTAATTAAATTAAGTGGGATTTGTGATTAGTCATGATTGGTTTAATTATGTGTTAATCAAGATTTATTAAGACTAAGTGTTGCTTAATTAAATTAATTTTGATCATATATTAAATTGTAGAATAATCAAGAATTGGGTGTATAGGTGGGTGTGTGTGTGTTGAGAAAATCTGGGTGTGAAAAGAAGGCTATGTGTGTGGCTATTCATTGTATATACGTTGTATTAGATAGATCCCATTGAATTCATTCTTTAACATTCAGGAAGAGAGAAATTGAGCCATAAAGAGAGAAAGGCCGAGAGAGAGAGAGAGAGAGAGAGAGAGAGAGAGAGAGAGAGAACAGAAGGAACTCAAGGCTTGAGAATTGAAGGAAGAACAAAGGAGAAGAGGGTTTTGTGGGATACCAAAATTCAAGCTAAAAATTATGGAAAAATCATCTTAAGATAAGAAATTTCATCCTCTTTCTAGTATAGTTTAAATAATCTAGACATAAATTGATTCAAGATGGATTTTGAGAGGATTAAAAATGAAGATTTGAAGATTAATTATATAAATTAATAGGAATTGGGTTTTGCATCTAAAATCAAGTTAGGTTGAAGAATATGAGTTATGATTCCTTAAATTTGTTAAATTTTGGTTCAATTTTGAGAATCATTCTTAAATTGAGTTCTATAAATTACATGCAACAAGAAATGTTTGAAGATTGGATCCATGCAAAAAAGTTATAAAAATCATGAGTTCATGAAATTTGAGAGTTGATTTTGGAATTAAAGGAAGTTTTGATTTTATTATGAAAACTAGGAATTTGTTTAATCCATGCAAGTAATTGAATTTAAAAGTTTTATTCAATTTAAACACATTTTGGAACATTTATGTTCATAAATTAAGTTTTTGATTAAGAATTGAGTTAATTTGAATTTCTAAGAAATTGATTTGTGTAATTCATAGTTAAGTTTGATTTTTGCTATTGATAATGAAATTGGGTTCTATTTTTACATACATCATGAAGTTTTCAAGAATTTTGAAAGTTTAATTCATATTTTAAAGATTTGTGGGTTTGATATAAAGACAATGAATTAAATCTAAATTTGGACAATTTGGGAATAAATTATAATTTATATTTGAGAATCAAAAATTAGTTTGATTTTGATTTAAATTTCTTACATGTAAATATTTTTGAAAGGGCTTTATAGCTTTAATTTGTGTTTTATAAAACAAAGAAAGAAGAGTGTTGAAATTATTATATACATGAAATTATTGATTTAATGATCAATTTAATGGTTGTTTTGGAGATTGAGATTTGGGTTAATCTAGGTTTGAATGTGATGTAAAATTTGGGGATTTTAGTGTTGGAAATTTACATGTTGAAATTGATTTAATAAATGGTGGATTGGGTATCTCTATGTTCTATAAACGATTTTGGAGGAATTTTATTAATGATTGAAGTGGTTTTACCTAAGTTGTTGAGTTTATGAAAATGTTGATTTTTGACTTTTGTGGTTTAATTGATGGTGGTATTGTGCATATAAATTGGTTGGATATTTAAAAAGGTTAATAACTCAAAAATGTACAAAGGATGGGTGTTGTGGAGATTGGATAAGTTGTTTGTTTGGGTGACTTGAAGTTGGAGGAGTTCTTTAGCTTGTCATTCCATAGCATGTCTTACTTAGGATCAATTTTGTAGATGTAGTAATTTTCATTGAAAGCTTTTCCCAAATTTTAGATCCTATTTACTAATTGTTAGGATTGGAGGAAGGCATCTCTACACCTCTTGGGGATTAATTCGTAGAGTTTCAAATCTACGCTTTTGCTATTTTGGAGGTGAGTATACTTACCATGGAAATTTACCTTATCTCTATCTTTAATACAAAGTTTGAAAATATTTTTGAATTAAAGGAAGTAACACATTTCATTATGATATATGTACAAGAAGAAAATCTATAAATTTATTGAGGTCAAATGTTGAGTTTAAATAAATATATGATTTCATTTGTATAATGAAGCACTAATTTTTTTATGAGAATTTATTCAAGTTGAGTTCTTCAAAGTTTATGATGATGATGATTAAATGACAATGAAACGTCATGCGATATTTTTATTAATCATATAACCGAATATAGCCTTTGGGGCCACAAGGGCCGAAATGCTTTGGGGTCTTAGGGACCGAAATGTTTTAAGGACCATAAGGGTCGTTGTACATAAGGGGTCCTAGGGACCGAAACATTGAAATGAGAATTGAAGTGCCACGATGACATGAGTTATGTTCCTATGGTTATGTTTTGGGTAACGGTACCATCACCACCTAAGTCGCGAGGTAACGCGACCCTAAGGCTATGTAGTAGTTCGTATGATGGACATGAAATCTTAATGTATTGAATAGTTGTATTTTTGTTTACTTTCCTTATTCAAATGTATTTTTCCTGCATTATGAGATTCTTTTGAAAAATCTTGATAACGGTTTGTGCAAAATTTTCTCAATTTTTATAAATTTCAGTCCAATCAAGCTCTTGTGTTTATTATCTTATTTTGAACCCAATTGGAAGGAGCAAGCTTTATAACTCCATGGGATTGGTATACTCATTGGGCTCTAGCTCATTCTTTTTTTTAATTAATTTTTTTTTTCCAGATTTCTAAACTTTTGTGTGGCTCGCCTCAACTTGGGAGATTAGAGTTTCTAGAGGATCAAATGTGAGCATCTGGTAGTTGTGGTTTTGCTTAGGGTCACTCTAGCTTATAGTTTTATCCTTTGTTTTATGAAGTAGATTGGTTGCAAATATTTGCTTTGTGAAGTTGGATGTATTGACGGATTCACGAATAGTATGTTTTATTTTGGGGGTAGTGGTGCATGGAAACTATCTTAGTAGCATGATGATATTTTTGTCTTTGAATGGTTCATCTCATATATGTTGGCCAATCGAAGGGTCTTATGCACTATTGGTGATGTGATATAAGAATTATACAGGTGATTATTGTGTACAAGTGTTGTAGCGTTGAAGTGTGCCCTCTTGGCGAGGTTGCCTTGCCGAGATTGGGTCGTGAAAATAGTCTCAAGGAGCAAATTGCTCTTAATGAGAGTTAAACCTGAGACCTAGAAGGAGTACACCTCTAACTCTTAAGTTGTTCGGGCAAATTAATCAGTGATGAGCTCACATATTGGACCCAAATTTGCCCCCCCTAAAAAAAAAAAACCACTATGACACACATACAGTTACCAGGCTTCGCACCTATAATATCCTTCCTTGCAGCTATTCTTTAGGAGTTTTCCCTTATTTTCTCCATCTTCGAACTCCTCCTGAAGCTCTCGCTTGTATTTCAAATAACTGATTGTAACCACTACTTCCATCATCTTTCTCGATCATGAGTTGCGCATGTGACTTGCTTCGAAAGTTGTACTCTTAACTTTGGATGGTCATCCACATTTCTGCTTCTGAATAGTTAGTTCATAGTTGCCCTTATTCACCACATGTCACCTTCGCTTTTGTTGGTTTGAACATAGCACCAACAAAATGAAATTAAAATTTATCCATGTAATAAATAGAACTAGGTTAAATTAACCTCAATGGTCAAGTACCAAGAACGGACAATTTGTAATAAAAAAGAAAAACATTAGGAAGTTCCATGTCATTTCCAAAACCATACGGTTAGGGATGTAATAGTAAAAAAATTCAAGGTTCCACCACAATTTATCCTTTTATTTATAAAATAAAAAATTAAAATTAAGAAAAAAAAAACAAAGTAAATTTATAATTTTGGGGGGTAATTATAAATAAAAATTCAATGTTTCACCTCAATAATAAATTAAATTTTAATTATTTAATTATTTCAATTAAAACTAAGAATTTTTAAAATGTTACCAGTTCTAACCATCCATTTATATCCCTTAGTTTTGACTAACAAAAAAGAGACAATTTAGATAATTTAATTATTTTTTCTCTTTCATTATTGTTGACAACTACCTCCAACCTTACCGTCATGCATCACCATCCCTTCTTTTTCCCAATCCATTGTCATCCCGCCATTATTATTCGTTCATTGTCTACTGTTACTCCTTCCCCACTTATTATTATTATTATTATTACTTTTTTATAAAAGAAAAGAATAAAAGTGATGACTATGATTTCTCCACATATATATGCATATGTGACACCAAAATAATGTAGAAAATTGTGTATTTCAGTTTTTAATATTATTATTATTATTATTATTACTGTTTTATATCACTTTCTATGTAACTATTTATAA